AATATTTTTAACCTCCTTGTTTCAACCCCCTAAGACGGGTAGATGTTACCCTTAGAAACTTAAATGGGAAGGGGGGTCAAGTGGTACATCGTTTTAAAGGGCTTTCAATTATCTTTAAGTTAGTTATTACTTTGTTGATTTTTGTCCAGAGGTTTCCGAATAATCGCGTTTCAAAGTTGTAGAAACAATCAAACTGAGGTGCATTCAGGTATTGGTTTTCAATTTAGTGTTTACACAAAAACAATTGTATTGCGTCTCCTGGTAATACAAATGATTAAAAGTGTAGAGTACACTGTTAAAATCGTTAAATAACAGAAAGGAAATCTAGTTTAAACATTGATTTCTTAGTTATTGATTATTTCTCATCGACAAAAATAACTTTTTATTTGCGGAAGAGAAATTTCTACAACAAAACCTATGTCATCTACTTACGCACTATCTTATAAGTTGTTCAAGTGTTGTCAATTTTCCTGTAAACAAAAATAAGGTCTGTTTTTGAACTCTTCCCTAACATTTCGGAAAACTTCACTGGGGATTAACCGGCATTTTGCTACAATTCGCCTTTTAAGATCATCAATATATATTCATATTTATAGATACATATATAGATATCAATGGACTTAAGGTGTCCCCAAAGAAAGAAGTCTAAGGGTGTTCAATCTGGTGATTTTGGAGGCCATTCAATTGGTCCCCTTCTGACAATAGATCTATCCGGGAATATCTTATTAATGTTAGGGAGGGTTTGAAAATAGACTTTATTATTGTTTACAGGAAAATAGACTTTATTATTGTTTACAGGAAAATAGACAACATTTTGGACAACTTATAAGATGCGTAAGTAGATCCCATGTGATTTATTGTAGAAATTTCTCTTCCGTAAATAAAAAGTGATTTTTCTCGAAGTAAAAAAACTAGATATTCTTCCTGTTATTCAACGATTCTAACCGTGTAACCGAATCTTCTAGAGATCCAATGACATAATTTTTGTTTAAACACTAATCTGAAGACCAAAATCTCAAAGCATGCAAGTTTCATTGTTTCTGTAATTTCAAAACGCGATTATTCGAAAACCTCTGAACAAAAAGCAACAAAGTAGTAACTGGTGTAAAGGGAATTGAACGCCCTTTAAAACTCCCCTTCCTATTTAAGATTTTGTAGATGGGGGGTTGAAACAAGGAGGCTAAAAATATTTATTTACAGTGTTCCCCTTACAAATAAAATTTACGGGTCTTTCCGATTTTTCAAATTTTAAACTGCAAGAAATATATTAAGGGTGGGAAGTTTTCCAATTGACACCCGGTATTACTATACCTACAGCATTGCCGGTGTGAATTCAACCACACCGGTATGGCTAGAAATTGTTAATTTTGTTAAATACACAATGGTTTAGACTTAATAATTATAATAGGTTAAACCATTAGTTTACCATCACAGGCACTGTGGTACCGGAAGAATGAAATAGATTATTTTCCTTGTTCGAATGGAAAGTTCTATTTTTAGAATCTATCGAAGCATAAATCAAGGCTTTAAATGACGAAAGATATTCTGAGCCTTTCAAGTATGGACTTCACTATAATATGGTTTCTTTTACGTTTTTAATTTTGGTAAATGAACGAATTCAGATACATATACCTAAATCATATGTTTTTAATGCTGAAAGTTAAATGAACATTTTTGCAAGATGCCCGGTATTTTTAACTGTAAATATGAATATTTCGGCTTAACACCAATCAGTTTTTTTGTATAAAATGGAAAATGTAAGACGTTCAATAACTGAAACTTATGTAGTTTAATCATGTCTGATTATGATATGCATTCTATGATTATTAACTTGTTCGATGATTAAACCTTTTCGGAATATTAAAATATGCGACAAAAGTACGTTTTTAAGTACGTAAATGCATTTTATCAGTGGCTTCTGGATATTTTTTTGAATATAAAATATAATCAAAACTTAACTATTAACCAAAAAAGGGAGTCTTCATCTAAATAGGAATTGGTCCAAAATGATTTAAAAAAAGATAGATATGAAAAAGATGAGGAATTTCTGTCAATGTTCCATTTTGTTTAAGAACTTAATATGAAAATAAAATATAATCTTTTACATGGCAGTCTAATTTAAATCTGCATGACTAAGGGCAGAACGAATTAATAAAATACGTTTAGCGCGACTATCTTGTATCTGCATATTTCTAATCTTCAGGACACATTAAATTTAAGCAAGTATTTATTTCTTGAAATATGAAACATGACAAGACAAACATTCAAAGTAGATTGAACAGGTAATAGCTGTCGGGTGGCATATTGACTTGGTGTGTCCAGAACAAAGAGGCTTTTAATGTTATTGATACTGTGCGTTTTAGATGGTTACTGTTCTGTTATATTAAAACAACACAGTTAATTAATTTTTTTATGTTAAAATAATCTCTAAGTAAGTAGGGTGTGTTGTTACACAGTTGAAATTTTTATATTTTAAAACAACACATTTAATTAATAGTTTTATTTTAAAATAAACATCTCTTAGAGTACTTATATTACTATTAGTAGTATATATGAGATTTATAAAAATATTTCAATTAGAACTAGATTTATTTCTCTTCAATTTAAAATTAAATTTGGCTCGAAAAAAATCTAGTAAAATGTATACGCAATTAACTATTTTGGAGATGCTAAGTAACTACATTCGGAAACTTCTATATTATAGCACGAATATGCAATAAAAAGTACGGCCTTCCATTTAAAAAAGATAAGTTTTGGTCTGCCATTTGAATTTGAGACACCCTGTATCAATTGGTGTTATCTTAAAATAAACTAGACGTTAATATCTACAACTTTTGTATTTAACATTTTGCTCTACATTTCAAATCACTTAGATGTTAAAACGGGGTGGCCAAAGTTCAATCAATAAACCTGTACATACATTAGTACATTTTGACACGTTATTTAAAGGGTACTAGTTTCGCTTAAGTTACATATATGAATATCAATCAGTATGACTCTCAGTCAGGATGTATACATTTTTACTTCTGGCATACGTTTGTTTTTCCCGAATAAACATATAATGTTCATAAAACGCACGTGCATGGATGGGTTTTAACGTTACGCACAAACAGAACTGGAACGAATGCCATGTTGAATGTAGAAATATTGTGCTTTATCGACATTTTTTCGGATAATGGGTATAATCAGTTGGAAGGAGTACTGTCTATTACGCGACGGTGAACTAACTATTAAAACATTTAGTTAAGTATATGGTAACACGTAACACCGTCAGGCTACAATTTAAAATTATTATTTTGTTCAAGGATCTTCATCGAACAATTCAGTCCACATAAATGTGGTATTAAACAATTTCATCGAAACTGTATTCTAATATCTACTTCTTCCCATTTAGCTTTATTTTCTAATGGACACACCATTTGTAAAATTTTCATATTGTCATATGACATATTGTCATATTTCATATATAGTGTTTGTGCTGTTTCATTTTCATTTATTTTTCCTTCAAACTGGCTCTGCCTCTCCACTTATTCACTTCTCCTGGTAAGAAGGTGGGTGTGGTGGGAGAGACAGGTCCGGATTGAGGGAGTGGATTGGGTAGGAATGAAACGGCCTGGTATTGTGATGTGAAGTAGACAATATTCAGCTTAACAATTTAATGGAGGAGGGACAAATTGAAAATGGCAATGTCCATAATAACTATGGTCCACTACAAGTTCAACAACAGATTATACGTTATTTTTCAAATTTATATTAAATTTGGTGATTAAAAGCAATAAAACTAAAATAGACATATTTTTTTTTATGGAAATATCTGCTTTTTTAAACTGAAAACAGTAAAAGCAAGAGCAAAAAAATCCTAAATAAAACTATGCAATTGCTTAGTTTTAGGGCCGTTTGCACCGTTTTATATGAAAGCCAAGCTTACATAAACCAACTTTAAAAATTAAGCTCAGCTTTAAAGTAAACGGCTTGCACCGTACCAATCTGTTGTTGGCTTTGTTAAGCCGGAGTCAAGCAGATCTATTTGCCATATGTGGAATTATGACCGTTTGCTGCCATGATTCAATGAATAAATGTATTCATTGTTAACTCACACTTGTTCACATTAGAACTTTGGCGATTGATAATATAGATCGAGGGATTAACCTCAGTTTAGAACACATTTAAGACAAGGTTCCTAAATTCTACAATTTAGGAACCTTGCGTTTAGAGTGTTTTCCAACCCAACGTTCATATTTTAAATACGTCTGTTTTTTAAGCATTTTTATTTTATATAGGTATTGAAATTTTATTTTGTAGTGACTAAAATTTTAACGCAAAGTTTTGAAATTATTAATGAATTGTTGTAGTGTAGTGTTGCGGTGATTTTGAAGCTTATTTATGGTTTCATTTTGAAATTGACCAATATCAATTAAATAATCCAATTCATTTATATTTCTGATGATTTTGTAGAACCCAAATATTTTTTTAAAAGTTGGTAGTTCCTCCAAGTCCTCCAATGGATTATTTCTGTTATATATCGTTTTTGGAAATCCAAATTCGATTGTCCCAATAATGTCAAAACAAGTTTCGATATCCATTGTTTTTGGTTTTTGTTATAGTAATTTTCAATTTTGTTAACTATCGCCACATGTATGAGGAATAATTTAAGCCGAGCTTTGAATGCTGTAAGCCTGGTTTATAATGTGGTACAAACCGATTTAATTTTAAAGCTGAGCTTAATTGCAAAGCCAAGCTTATTTTCAACGGTGCAAACGGGCCTAAAAATTGCCGGCAACTCGAGAACCGAAAAAATGCGCAAGTATGGAATGCAATATTACGTGTAAGAAAGATGCGGGTAATAAAATTGCAGACTATGAAACGGCCTTGAAGAGTACTATTTTAGAGCCACGTGGACATTTTTGTGATTGCATCTGTTGAGCTCATCGCGTAGGTTATATACAGAATATTTCGATTTGTTGCTTGCATTCTATTACAAAGGGTTTTCTGTTCTATAGGCATCTATGGACCTTCCACCTGACAAAGCCAAGCTACTGAAAAGCTATGACTCTGAAAGGAAATGGGATATTATCTGTGATCAGGTTAGTGGCTAATAGATTTAACATGTTTGTAGAAAATTGACTTGCTGGTATATCAGATTTTAGTAAAAATCTTAGTTTTAATTTTGTTTGTGAGCCAACTTTATTGTTGGCATTAGCTTTCTTCAAAGTAGCTCGTGGAAAATTATTTTTTTTAATTAAACCGAGAAAAGGAAATACGAAATGTTTGGCAGAAAATTTATCGTCAAGTGAGTTTCTTTTGATATATCATCCAAATCAAGCTTAAAAAAAATTAGAACGAAGAAGAGACCAGGACCAATTTGGATTGCCAAATGAAACAATTTGAAAAAACGTGCATGTAGGAAATTGTAATGAGTTTCACATTGGGGAAGGGTTTTTTTCGTGTTTTATCTCTAGCATAATATAAATTAGATGTATCCTTTAAGGACCTGTTTTGCAATTGGGGTATATACCAAGAATAAGCTTTCCATGTATAACTTTGTCAGATTAGGTTCTACAATAAGTAAGCCAGATTAAGATATATTTTAGAACCTAATTTTGCAACGAAAGTAAACAACTGCGGGTCATTTTTAGTAAATTTCTTGCATGCAAATCATGTAAATCATGTCACATTTTCTTATCTGGGCTCAAACCAACTTTTCTACTATTACCGACAAAAACTAGATGTTTTCTAGGAACAAAATTCTCGCGTCTGCGATGCATTGTAATATATTACTTACCTATTAAAACTGCCAATTTGTATTTTTCATAATCTAAAAACATCCTGTTACATATTATTTGATTGTAATCAAGAAGTGTAGATAAAAGGTTGTTGTTTAAAACAGTGAGAGTTCCGACCAATATTTTTTCATCATCGAAGGCAAGCAAAGCCAATTAATGGTACAAAGAAGAACACAAAATAAACACTAACGCTTAAGCCTCATGTATTCGGCATACGAAGCAACTACGATTTTACAGCGTTTATATTCGTTGAAGATTTTTGACATATAAAATATCTGAAATTCAGTTTGTAAGACCATAGTGGTTTATGGCCAAATTTTATTTAAAAGTATTAATTTAGTAAAATCAAAGAATACTTAGTAAGTGTTGCGGACTCTCAAGAAAACAAGAAAGGCGATTATTGGACAAAAACAATTCGAATTTTAGACGAGAGAGAAGTCAAATAGTAGGTAGCTGATCGTAAGGGTCGATGCAATAAGAAAGCTTTTATCGCTGAGAATAATTCAATTTTTGCTTGCATTTTACTGCAAACCGGCGCCTCTGCATGTAAAGCAATTATTAATCTGAAATTACCCCGAATGACGCCACTGCAAGATCGTGATCTTCGAATGCAATGCAAAATCCAATACTTTACAGTCAGGAATATTAAAAATGGGCCTGAGTAACACTGCTGAGTTGCGCTTTTGAGTGGTTGCCGCTCTCTGGGTTAATGAGTTTTAACTCATCGCTTAATGAGTTGTAACTCATTTACTGGTTACTAAAACTGGAATTTTAACATTTTTGAAGAAATTCAAAAAACTTATTTCGATTTTGTCGCAAATTCAAAGGTAAAACGGGTATTCGAAAAAGACGATAAAGAATGCCAAACTATAAAGACGACGAGTTTTGTTCTAAAATCGATCTCTTAATTTTTTTGCATAAACGGCTCTCAGTTAGCCAACATTTTAAAGTAAAACGTTAGGGAAAATAGCGTTTTTCTGGTTAGAGAGAGTTTTGTTTATAAATATTGATCTAAAATTGAAGAAACCGGAATTAAAAAAAACCAAATTATTCACAGCGACGACGGTGGCGAGTTTTCGTAGTTTTTAATGTAGACTTTTAGTAATAGTTTACGGGTATAAAAGGGTATGTCTAATTTTACGAAATCTATTTTACTATTTCGGACCAGTTATTATCGAGTCCTAGGCGTTATCTACTTTGTTTTGAGTTCAAACTCAAAAAAACGTTTAGCTGGCCAAAAATCATTCTTCTAATACAATTTGATCTATTTTTATGCTGCATCTTCAATTGTTTTCAAGAAGTGTTCATTCAATGGGAAAATTGTAATCTTTTTTTTGTTTACTCTACAAACATACTTGAAAGTTGTATGTACTTTTTTATGTTGACATCCATTAACTAATGTGTTGTTTAAAATCGTAAAAACTATTTCTGATCCAAATAATCTAAGAAGTGAGTAACAGGCCTATTTTAACTATAACGGACAGAAGCAGCTGTGCAAGAAAAAATGCATAAGATTAAAAACTTAAAAAATYTCGAAATAAAATTGATTGAAAATAATGCATRTTTGTTGCAATTAAATGTTAATATTTGCGTTTTATGTATTGCSTATGGTTTACTATGTTTATCCTATAAACATGAACTAATGTGAGYTTCTGTGGGTAATAAAGCCTCCTATTGATGGGATGTTTATAGCCCAATAGAGGTTTTAGATGCGTTGAAAAGTTGAGTGTGTTTCTCGAMTGCAAAGTACTTCTTATAATGTCTTCAGTYTTTAGAACCGTTTAGTTAATTACATTTTGATTTTAATTTAATGTGATAMCACCAACTGTGGTATGGYAAAATCCATTAATGAATATCCACAGAAAAGGGGAAGGTTGGCTGTAAAGCTGCATTCCAATAGAATTTCAGTTGTATACTAACCACTTAATATACTGCGAATTAGTGGTGAGTTACGTTTCATTTTAAACATTTTTTGAACGTTGCATTTGTGAGAATGTTTGTTTTTGTTTCGTATTATACCACCCCTTTTTAAAGATGCATCTTATCAAGGTATCTATAAAACGTGTAAGTAGATATTCTTTCTTTATTGAGGCTCAAGTTTATTTGATTCTAATTATTTTACAAATTTTCTGTTTTGAAAGTTCTGCCTAAATTTGCTGACCCTTCCAGATATAGCGACTTCAGAGGGTTTATCTCAATTCTTGTCTAAGACATGCTGAATACCACCCCTTTTTAAATATTTTATCCAAGACCTCAGTCTTTTTTGGATCAGTTGGACTTAACAAACCATTTCCATACTATCTTCTAATTTGAATTTGGATCACATCGGATCAATACTTAATTCTCCTCATTAACCAGGTATTATATAAACGTTCGAGCACCATTATTCGATTAGGCTTGATAAGGTTTTACAAGAAAGCTTGTTTATTTTATTTTAAAAGCTACTACTGACGGCTAGAAATATAGCAGTTAATAAAACGCCTCAGGCGCTCTTCCGCTTTAGGAAAAGCTTCCGATGTAATTTAATCTTTCGACAGTTTGTCCCCTTTCCCATATTGAGAGCTTGCGGCATTTTCGTACCTAATGATGATTGATCACATCGCTTAGCTAAATTATTTAATACCCATTTCAATATTGTTTTAGGATTCTTCCATTTTTCAATGGCTTATACGTGAACTTAGTAGTTACTTGAATTACTATAATGATCCCTGTAAAGTTATATTTTATGTTTTTTTATTAAAGGAAATGGTGCACGCGAAAGATCCGCCATCGTACTACCTAAATAAGCTAAGAACTTATCTCGATCCTAAAGCCTCCAGAAGTCATAGAGTAAGTTTTCTAATTTTTATACCGACTCCAGATAGTAATTTAAATTCGATAGCCACTATACATATTCTATTTGTATTCTAGAAACGAAAATTGGTAGTTGAATCGACATCAACTCAAGTTTTGAGAGACTTAGAAATATCTCTGAGAACGAATCATATAGAGTAAGTATTTGCCAAACTGTCACTAATATCGTTTGTAGTTGAGAACATAATTTTATTTACTTTGTGCAATTTCTTTTTAGATGGGTCAGGGAATTTTTAAATGAAGAAAATACTGGTTTGGATCTATTAATCGATTATTTGAGCTTTCGCCTGGGGATGATGAGGCATGAGAATAGAATTGCGGAGTCACGCTCATCATCAGAGGAAAGACTTACCCCAAATACTCAACCTACTTTAGGGTCAAGTACTTTTGAGAAAAGTGTTGACAAACCGTTTGAGAGGTATGTAGGCTATCAGCAGTTTAACATTGAATGTACTTGATAGTATTTTATGTAATGAGCGAATAATTGCAGCTATTATTGCATAAGTACATAGTTTTATAATCACCTACATAAGTCATGATTCATCATTGAACCGTACTTCATTGACGACATATTCTATTCTGACTTTTTTTGCTTAAGTTTGTCTGATTTTTTGTACTCTAAATTATCTATCTTCGCATAATTGTACACTATATTTTCTCCGTGTAATTTTTCGTATTTTGTTCAAAATTCGCATTTTTCAACATTAATGACAAAAAACAGATAAGTATTGAGCAAATATGATTTTTATATCATGATGGTTTAAAAATTGAAGCCCGTAATAAACAAATCGATAGACTAAAAATTCAGGAATTTGGAACAAATTTATCTACGTATTTAATGGTAGTGAATATTTTATGAAAATATAAAAATTTTGAATAATTTATTATCGTTTATCACGTATTTTCTACGCTTAATTGGATATGGTTGTAGATCTAATGGTTATACAAGAATGGCTTTAGATGTGAGTGGAAGTCCCAGTTTGAAAAGGCGATCGAAACATGTAGCCAAATTAAATATGGGCGAATCCAAGGACGATATTCATGTTTGTATTATGTGTATGAGGGCGATAATGAATAATAAAGTAAGTGTAACTGAACTAGATTTATGTTTTAGCCAGAGTGCCTTCACTTGAATAAAACATTTAATAATGTAATACTATTTTCAGTACGGATTTAATATGGTGATTCAACATAGAGAAGCCATTACTTGTATATCCCTCAGTCTAATGCACAAAAGTCTCAGAACCAAAGCCTTAGTATTAGAATTGCTTGCAGCAATATGTTTAGTAAAGGGCGGACATGAAATAATATTGTCGGCTTTTGATAACTTTAAAGAGGTTTGCCATGAAACTCATCGTTTTCAAACATTAATGGATTACTTTCTCAACTACGAAGTGTTTCACATAGAGTTTATGGTAAGATGTCGCTATCAGCTAAGAAAAATTTTGCTTGACCACATATATTTTCAGGTCGCTTGTATGCAATTTGTAAATATAATTGTCCATTCAGTGGAAGACATGAATTTCCGAGTGCATCTTCAGTATGAATTTACTGCACTGGGTTTGGACAACTTTTTGGAAAAGCTGAGGTTCACGGAAAGCGAAGAGCTGCATGTGCAGATATCAGCCTATCTAGATAATGTTTTTGACGTGGCAGCTTTGATGGAGGACAGCGAAACTAAAACGGCGGCGCTGGAAAAAGTAGCTGAACTGGAAGATGAGCTGGCACAGATGCACGAACGAACCCATGATATTGAACATGCCGCTTTAGAGAAAATCGCTATGTTAGAGACTGAATTAATACAAATAAGGTAATATTTACCTATAACTATGTTTAGGCAAATCTTATGTGTCTTGTTTGCTTGGTTTCAGACAAGAAAAAGACGATATCCTGGAGTGCAAAAAGAAAGCCGATGAGGAAGTGTCGACGTTAAGGCGAGTAGTACAACATCATGAGCAAGAATCGAAAAATAGACAATCCTTGTTTGCAAATAATCTTGGGGGATTGGGAGGAAATGGGTCACCAACAGACTCTTCAGCTCAGAGCAATTTAGGTAAACACATTTACCACATTAATAGTTTCTTGAATGTTTACATTGTGTTTTTTTATTTAGATTCCGGCATTGAATCTCACTCTGTGGCCACTTCAGTTTTACCATCTCCGGTTCCACCACCGTCTCCACCAGTAGCGCCAGCTGCACCTCCACCACCTCCATGTCCGCCCCCACCACCGAAACCACCTTCCATGATGGGAATTCCTTCCGCACCCATTCCTCCGCCTCCTGCGGGTTTTATGCAGGCACCAGAAGGAGCCATGACCATTAAGAGGAAGGTTCAAACCAAGGTAAGAATATGGTTTAATTATTCGTTTTGCTACATACATAACTGTCTTTAAATTGACTGGCTGATAATGTTTTCGATAATTTACGTAAGTCTCCACCAATTCACATTTCTTAAAAGGATGAATTTTTAACAATTTGCATTGTCTCAGCTCAACTCATAGGTATTGGTCACATCAAAACTGGTACTGAGATTGCCTGCTCCGGTGTGTTCAGAAATTGCTTATATCTTTTAAGCGTCAATGTTTAATTGCATTTCGGACCCAATTTTTAAAGATGTATATTATTAAATATAATATAGTTCAATACTGTAAGATGATATTTAAGATTATTTGTTATTACTTTGAACATTGTTGAAACTTATTAAAATTGTTAATAAAATGCGTATTTACGATTTTAGTACAAATTACCAACGATAAACTGGATAGCCCTCAAACCCAATCAAGTAAGAGGTACGATATTCAACGAACTAGATGATGATAAACTCTACGCACATATAGACTTTGGAGAGTTTGAGGAAAAGTTTAAAATTGGAGCTGCAGGATATCTGGCTAACGGTAACTCGGAAACTGATGGACTTCATACATTCCCTAGTAAGCGGTATGTCAGTTATTTTTTGTTTTATTTCTTATTAATTTAACACTGTTTGTCCGGTATTTCATTGCAACGGTTATGATTCTTTTTAATTAATTCATATGACCAATTGTATATTTATTCTTTCGGTGTTCGAAGTTTTTAAATTTAAGTGTATTTTGAAATTTGCGTCGGAATCCGGTCAAAATTCGAAAAAAAAACGACGTTTTGTTCAAATGGGAGAATACCAAACTTTCAGAAATTTTGCATTGTTTCATTCTCCACCCCGTAGAAACTTTGTCTAAAGTACAAACATTTAGCAAAAATCACACCGGCAGAAGAAGAACTGGACTAGATAATGCTTCAAACAGCAATAAAATCGCAATCAGCAATAATAAGATCAAGTTCCAAAGTTAGGGAAAATTTGGCGATGCAACCTTTATTTTGTTGAGCAGTTTATATTCATTATTTAGATAGTCAATTTAATATAAATATTAAGTTTCTTATTTATAATTACTTTTTTTTGCAGATTCAAAAAGCCAGAAAATGTTACTCTTTTGGAACATACGAGACTCAGGAATATTGGTAAGTGATGAATATTGTGATTAATCTGACGTATGATATATTGTAATAACGCTTATGAAAGTAAAGTTCGGAAAAGAACACCCAGTTTCTTATAAAAACCTTCATTTTAAAATTCAAGATAAAAAAATGAAAATAAAAAAATAAAATCTTCTTTATGGCAAAAAGCGTAATAAACAAGGAGGTCCTATTTTTACTTCCATTAAATTTTGTTTCGTTTGAAATAATCTTATTACAGATTGACTATAATCAAATGTTTCGGTATAATATAAGGTGGTTTCTAAACTATGTACCCAAAAGCAATTCTGTGTTATCGGATATAAAGCATTGTGTTTAGTTAATGTATTAGAATCCAAGTAAACACTTGAAAGTGAGCTTCAGACGCAAGCAATCCTTATGCCAATTTGAGCGCTTGTTCTGCAGTGTTTATCGACGTCTATTTATATGTATATCTATTTATATGGCAATAAAATATACAAGTCAATCACTTAAAATCCTCACTATATGCCTTCTTCAAAACTTTCATAAAACACGCAGATACTTGTATGGTCAGTTTTATAAATCAAAGGTATTATAACGACCTAAATGTCAATATTAAACTGAAATTACAATCGCCGAGAAGATCGATAAAATAACCGAAAAGTTGCTCAGGAAAAGAATAAGGTGATTTCTAACTGGGAAATAATCCTATTATTGAAAAAGTACTAGTTCCTTAATCCAGCATCATACTTTAACTTAAGAGCAAAATAGTCTTGCATTTCTTGGTTTATTTTGTGAAAACTTCATGCTTGCTTTAAAAAGTGTGACAAAAATGCTTAAAAACTGTAGTACTTTTTAATTAATTTTGACTAAGTACATTAATTCTTTGATTGTTGTTCGTTTCAACTTGTCAGATTACACACAACTATTAATTTTTTACAGCAATATCTCGACGAAAATTGGAAATGGGACCTGAAAAAGTAATTCAAGCAATTAACATGCTCGATTTGAAACAATTATCTTTGGAAAATGTTGAGTTGCTTCAAAGGATGGTTCCCACTGAACAAGAGACCAAAGCCTATAGAGAGTACATTCAAGAGAAGAAAAATATTAATATACTAACAGAGGAAGATAAATTCCTGCTTCAATTAACCAAAGTCGATAGAATATCAGCGAAATTATCAATAATGAATTATATTGGCAACTTTTTCGACAGTTTCCATCTCATTCAACCAGTAAGTTAAGACCATTGAAGGTATGTCCCAGCGAACGGTTTCTACGCGATCCAATTAGAAGAAATTCGGACAGTTTTGATTAGTGTTGGGACAAACCTTAGTGAATGTGTTGTAAAGCAAATTGATGGTGATAATACATCTGTTTATTTCAGCAAATTCACGCCGTCATTTCCGCTGCAAATTCGGTGAAAACATCTCGAAAACTTCGATCTGTTTTAGAAATCGTACTAGCATTTGGAAACTATTTAAATAGGTAAGTTTTTTGTGCGATCGACTATTAAGGTTGTATTGCTAATTTATTTTGCAGTTCAAAGAGAGGTCCAGCGTACGGTTTCAAATTACACTCGTTAGATTCGTTGCTCGATACAAAATCGACGGATAAGCGATCCTGCCTGCTGCATTACATAGTGGCTACAATAAGGCAAAAGTTTCCCGACTTGCTTAATTTTGACTCCGAACTACATTGCATAGAAAAAGCAGCTGTTGGTAAGTTTAAACTATCTAAAATGTTAAGTATCATTTTCTAATAATAATTATTGTTTCAGTGTCAATAGAAAATATTTCCACCGACGTTCATGAACTGGAAAAGGGAATGGATGCGGTTCGGAAAGAAGCTGAAATAAGAGGCAGGGGTAACCATAGCTTAGTAGTGAGGGACTTCTTAGCTAACACGGAAGACAAACTTCGCAGGTTACGAAGTGATTTTAAAATGGCGCAAGAAGTAAGTAGAATCATTGATTTATTTCACTAGTCTATTTGTTACTTTGCAGACTGTAAAGAATTTGATGTTGATTAGTCATTTTTTGAAAACTTCACTATTCTCCAAAATTATTTTGCAAAGTTAGTACGTCGCACAGTGGGGTATTTGATACGAATTTCTGATCAAATTTGTTTTTTAATTCAGATATTTCTTAAAAACGCTTTGAATTAAAAGCGGATCACATAATAAGTAAAAATGTAATATGTTCAAGGATGAACAATTAGCTGCATTCTACAGGGTTAGTCAAAAATTCCGTAAAAAAAGTATTTCAGAGAGGATTGCGTGCAATTAAGTGTACTTCATCGAATAATTATGTGCACAAATGCCCGAACTTTCGTATTTAATAAAATATAAATAATAAAAAAACTCTCAGAAAAAAGCTATAGACGGCAACTTCGCCCATATTAAATTTTTATTTTTTTTTCAATGTAAAAGTTTTAATGCAATCGTTTCTGAGATATTAGGCCTCCTTTAATACCTTTTACCTGTATACAAAGCTTTTAAGAGACAAATTTTGAAACCCTAAATTCTAACATTACTTAAAGAAATATAATTTTTAAAACGCTTAATTTGAATTTTTTATACCTGAAAATAAATTCACCCTTTTCATTTTGAACACATCTTGGTGTGTTTTTATAAAAGAATTACACGCATGTGTAGTTCTTCTATAGGAATATATTTATAGGAAGAAAAGAAAGAAAGGTAGAACAAATTCAACAAAAACTTATTTGTAAAATATTCAGACACTGGAAATCACCATAAAAAAGCTGAATGTTTCTAACAAGTTAGGGCTAAATTAATATAAATGTAAATTTTCCGGGCACTAAATAGATGAAGGTAAAAGATTATTGGTTGGTTATTAAAGTTGCTTGGAAGGATGTCAGAACATTGGGGCAATAGTTTGAGCGTGATTTCCGAGTGTGTAACATTGCATAAATAATTAAATAAAGTGCGAAAAACCGTTTTATGCGCATAATTTTAGAACCGTTGATGCTTTTTAAAAAGTTTAATAGTTTTTTCTAAGTAAGTATTAGAAATACCTACAATATGAGATAAACTAAATTAAAATTCCTTCATTTGTACTCAAAAACGGGTCTTTAATTTTTCATCATTAATTTAGTATTCCTTCAAAAAAATCTGACTAGAACTTTTTGAAGGTCTTTGGATAGGTACATTATAAGGTATAAATTTAAGCTTAAAATATTCATAACTTTTTGATCATTTCTATTTGTTATGTAAAAAGGACTCTTGCCAGATTCCAAATAAGCATAATAAGTGCCTTTTTTTAATAACAAAGAGGAATGAACTCTATACCACTTATAAAGCAAAAAATAATACCTATTATAAGTCAGTTTTGCCTGACTTATACCTATTGTAGGTAGTTTTAATACTTGATCAAAAAGCGTATTTTCTATAGCATCAACGGTTCAAAAGTTATGTGCAAAAAACTGTTTTTGACACTTTCTTTGATTATTTAAGCAAAGTTCCACAGCCGTAAATCGCGCTCAAAATATTGTTCCAATATTCTGACATCTTTCCAACTTCCAATAATTTTTTACTTTCATCTATTTAGTGGCCGAAACAGGGCTTTTAAAGTCTAATTCGACTATTATGAGCATTTTTAAAAACCATTTTTTTTCTTTTCGATCAGTTTTCTATTATTAATACAGTTTTCTATTATTATGTATCGTTTTAGGTGAAAAGATACAATTTTTTATTTGAGAATCGCAGTGGTTTGGCATTATTGATATTAAGTTAACCTATCCCAACACCTTGAAAATTTATATTAAAAGTAATGTATACGTCAGAGAAATCTTTTCATCTTGGCATTGTGTCAATCTGTTTTATCGTCTATAATATAATATTTCCTAATTTTTTGTTTGTTTCAGGCTTTCCGAGAATGTGTTGAATATTTTGCAGAATCGTCGCGAACAACAGACGCAAACACTTTCTTCTCTTTGCTAGTCCGATTTGTAAAATCCTTCAAGGTAAGTGAAACGATTTTTATCATATGTTAATATTAAAAGAAACATTTGATTTGTAGAGTGCAGATCAAGAAAACGAGCAGAGGAGAAGACTGGAGTTGGCGGCCCAAAACGCCAACAATGCATCAAATGAGGACGTTTATAAGAAACCCAAATTTAATCCGAAAAAGCAGCAGGTATGTTTTACTAATGCTATAGCACAAAAACTAGTGTTTGGCGAACTGTCTTGCACGCTTGAAGATCGCAAAAATGGTCCCTGTTAAAGCCAAGCACTAAGACTAAAACGACATTTTCATTAATCTGCAACTCACAACGGCTTCCTAATATAAAATTTTGTACATACGCTTTTTCATAAAGTATGTTATAACTTGAACTGCAATAGTAGCCTTAAGATAATGAACATAAGAGATTTCGATAGGGTAGTTTTGAACATTCATGTATTGTTTCTACAATTACTCGCTCTGAATGATTAGCTTCTTGTTTCTTTCATTCTACAAATTTTGTTTGTATATTGTCATGTTCGTTGTAAGCGTCAGCATACTTCCTGTTGCATTTAAGATTGTTTCCGAGTTTCTATTGTTTATCCTGCTTAGTGTGTTGTTTATATTTTTATATATTATATGTTTTTTGCTTTACATTACGCATTTTCCTTTCAGTATTCATCCTTCCTATTGCTCGTTATTAGATTGTTTAGCCAAAGCAAAGCATGAGCTTTCTTTACTATTTTAGTTATTGGCAATGGTCTTTGGAATAGCTTTAGTAAAACCGACTAGATATTTGTTATCTTGTCTATCGGGCCACAGTAATACTCAGTTGGTTTTCGGAAAACGGCTAGTTTTCTTGCATAAAGTTAATCAGATTAAATCAAGTAATTTTTTTTATTTAACACAATTAACAACGTCGTTTTACTTCGAATTCGCGCAGAGGATATCAATTCCCGATTTTTCGGTTATTTGGTTTTGTATAAAACAGGGAAACTTGTTAATATACTGTACGTTTTTTAATTATTTATTTTTTGCGAGATATAATAAACGGCATATAAGCAAACGTAAATTTTACGTTTTTGATACAAAAGAAACTGCGTGAATCCCGATTGTATTATGTCCTTTCTGTCTTAGTACATTTAACATTTACTTATTTATCCAATTGCCAATTCACGCAATAACAATTATTTTGTATAGTTTTTGATGGGTTGCAAACTTGTCTTATACCGGCTATATTGGGCTTTTATATATTATCTAATCTGTATGATCTGCTTTTTGCGGGAAAGAAAATATAATAGAGGCATTATTTACGGGTTCAAATATTCTATCAAGTCTTCGCTAAATAGCTCGGGTAGGGTCGCAGAGAGGTTAGTCAAAGGAGTTTAATCTAAACTAAACATCTTTAGTTGTTTATAGCTTGAATCTTGAAGTTACCAGTCTTGAATTTGAGCGGAAATATGTGTTTAATAGCCGCAATTAAATTACTTTTATATTAGTCTAGTCAGATTAGACTTTAAAAGGTCTGTTTCGGGCACTAAATAGATGAAGATAAAAGATTATCGGAATTAAATTAAAATCCGTTTATTTGTTTACTCAAAAAAACTAAAAAACCGCTGCGTTTTTTTAAATTTTCTATAACTAATTTAGCTGCCCTTCAACCCTTCATAATTGGTATAAATTTTATCTTAAATATAACTGGGTTCATTCCGATTTGTTATTAAAAAACAAGGATATTTGCACGTGCGACGGTGGCGGTGTCTTCATAAAGGTGGTTGATTCAATTTCAGCTGCGGGACCGTTGCAAGCGCGGCTCACACAAATCCTAATTTCAAAGAAGTCTCTCCGACGTCTCAGAAAACTTATTTAGAATCTCGCAGGAGCCCTTTTAACATAACAAATAGGAACGAACAAAAATTTATGAATATTCTAAGCTAAAATTTATACCACTTATAAAGTATACAAGGACCTTCAAAAAACATAGTGAGATTTTTTGAAGCAAAACTAAATGCATTATAGAAAGTTTAAAAACAAGTTAAAATCGGCAGTTTTTTCGTTTTGTGAGTAAACAAATGAACGGATTTTAATTTAGTTAATCTCATATTGTAGGTATTTTTAATACTTGAAAAAAAGTATCAAACTTTTTAAAAAAGCATCAACGGTTCTAAAGTTATGAGCAAGAAACGCTTTTTCGCATTTTCTTTAATTATTTAAACAATGTTCCACAGCTGGAAATCGCGTTCAAACTATTGTCCCAATATTCTGACATCCTTCCAAACAAGTTCCAATAATCTCTTACCTTCATTATTTATTTACTACAAGCTTAATTAATTTATCACGACCAAATAATGTCTGCTTATTCACTTGATGTCTGAAATTTGCAAAGTTTCGGGGTATGTTTACAATACATAGAGTTTCGGTGCATGTTCTTAGGTCAATTATAATAATTTGAATATATCTACTATTATAATTTACTTTAAATATTCCAATCAAGTTCTACAGAACATATATCGAAATTGAGAGGTTAAACTTGCGCTGCCAGTGTTCCGATAAATGTTTTTAGTTTTTCGAAACAAATACGGTTTTTATTAGATTCCAATTATGAATTTAATTTTTGCTCGAGAATAAGTGTGGCACTTTTTTTCTGCAAATTTGAGTGACAAATTGAAAATTATTTTTGATTTTTCAAAAATCTGTGGAGTTAGTTTACAAAACCGTGCTTTATTGACGAAGCATTTTGTTACATATAGCAACATTTTGCCAACGAGCATTCTTTTTTGCTGAAAAATCAGGGGTTGAAGTTTGTCGTTATTAATAGAAAATTAGGAACAAACTGTTGCAACAAAAAAATTTTTCAATTCAACATATTATTTAATGCAATTAATTAATGATCAATACATTTGTCCACAAATAAATTAGGTAATCATTAGAATTGATAGAAAGTCCAGTCCATTCCTTCCTGCTGTTGCTGTGCTTTTATTGCAACCACCACTATAACAGTTTGGTGGCAGTTTGTTTCCGAAATGGCGTTTATTAGAGCAGCGTGATATTTAAGGATGTGATATATTGAGATCTTTATTCCTATTTTGGGATTCATTAAAATGTAAAGGATCCTACTCTTAAACATTAAGAAATTGAGTTTTTTTTCATCCTACTAGCGATTTGATGCTTTTTTTAAAACGTCTAAACGTACGAATATATTACTATCTGGCCACCTCGTACAATTGGTTGCACGTAAGTATATGGACCCGCAAACTCAAAAGTATTGTAAACATTTATTTACACATAAAATATTGCCAAAATAATTGACATTTATTATTGAAAATTATACTGAAATTTGACATAMAGGGTGTCCTGTAAATGGACAGGCAGTTGGGTGCATTAACAGGGTGTCAAAATACATACGACCCTCCAAAGATATGTAATATGATSCGATAAGTCCTTAACGTGTGTGGTATAATTTTTTAAAATGATAATTACTAGTTAGAGCTTTTGAAAATGATGCCTGAAACTTTTTTCTGTATAAGSTCCATCCAAATTGGACACATTAATATTAATTTTTTTCAAAACCATTTGTGATACAATAATACAATCGTAAGAAAACTCCTTCTAGATGCTTTGAAAGTTGWATGAAAAAAAGATCTGTCGTTTAATATCGATAAATGAACCATTTTTCAAAAAACATAATTTTCATCAGTTATCTAGTTCATCAATAATACACTTTATGATTGTCAAGTAATTTTTTTTAGGTTGAATGATAATATTGTCAATTTGTACCAGAAAATACTTTATATGAAATACCACTTAATTAAAAAAAATGTTTAATGTAAATTTTCAAATATTCCTGGTTTTGGAATATTCCTGGTTTTCAAATATTCATGCTCACTTTGCATCTCACACCTTTTATTTTGCAAGTCGGTATCTGTTCAGATTCATTAGTTCAAATGACAAGAGCATCTAAACAATGTTTTCTTGGACTGTGATTGCGACTATCGTTCTCACAAATTAAATCGGTTTTTTTTTCTACTGTTGTTGAACATTTAATTCTTTCTGATCACATAAGAAATATTGCTCTGAGATTTGGAGGCGTGGGGTGTAATAATCCGCAATTCTGCGTGCGCGAGAATGTATCAAATTACAGGAAGTCCATGTTGGAATTATTTGGTCTTAAACGGCAAATTCATCATTTCGATTAAGGTTACAGATTAGCATGGCTCTAACATGACAAGTCACGTCATAACTATTGGAATCATTCGGGAATGGTAAAACGTATTGAAAATATCAAGGTGCACCTGCTTGAAAAGGTGTGCTATTTGCAAAAACAACGAAAAAGTGAAAAAATTGCGAAAATCGCGTGTTTTCCCGGAAACAATCGCATATAACTTGGCAAGGATGCATTTTGGAGAAAAAATGTATACTTATAACTTTGTACATTATAAATTTTCTTTAAGATAGACGTTGTCCGATATTTGTTTGTACTAAAAAAGTAGGTAAAAATCAAGGTAATCACGCCATACATTTAGAGAAAAATACTTGACTCCAATCCAAAACGAGAGCCGAGACAGTTTTTGCATACTGGAATTGTTAAATAACCTATCTGGAAAAAAGCCCCTTTTTTAATTTTCTGCCAGGCTCAAAGTTATATATATTTTTTTGGGCTCGCACTTTTTCGCCATCATATGCAATTGCTATATTAACCATGTTTCAATTTTTAATAACTTTTTAAGCGGTTTTAAAAATTTTAAATAAATAAATAAATTTAGATGAATTTGTATTACAAATACATTTTGTAAATTATGTAAATCTAATTATATTGTCAATATTTTACTATTATTTATACCTTATCTTCTGTTATTCAATGTATTTTATGCATTAAATAAAAATTCAAGGGCAGAACGACCGATTGGGTCGATAGCCTTTTTCTGTAGAAAATAAAAATTATTTATATTATGTATATAAAAATTCAATTTATTTATAACATTATTACGCATTAATTCTTCAATTTTATACTAATTTACGGATATTATGACTTTTAGCAACATTTAAAAATACTTCATTATGAAAATCGACCACAAATTGTTTATTTTTTAAAATTGATTAATGTAATTATGCAAATTGAAATCTACTCGTTTTTCTACATCGTCAAAATCTGTGCAGTAGAAGCCGAAATATAAATAAATAAATATGAAAAGCTCAAATTTCCAAACTTTTTAAAACCGCTCAAAAAGTTCTTAAAAATGGTCAAAATAACAATTGTATATGGTAGTTTAAGGGTCTAAGAAGGCGTAAAAGCGCCAAAAAATTGTTCATAAATTTGAGCCTGGCACAAAATAAAAAAAAGTATTTTTTCAGGTAGGTTATTTAACAATTGCATTATGCAAAAACTGTTTATCCGTTCTTAATCGGCCTTGCCGCCCTCGTTTTCTATTGCAGTCAAGTATTTTTCTCTAAATGTATGCATAATTGGCTTCTTTTTTCGTTGTTAAATAAATAATTTAAAATTATCTTGTTTTCTGCCTACTTTTTTGTAGTTTCGAACATTTTAAAGCGACATATTTCAAATCTACGGATATTGGACCACCTCTACCTTACAGAAAATTTCATAGCAAACAAATTTACTGTTTTCTAAGTAAAATGTTGTCTCCAAAATTCATACTTAACTAGTTATATTCGATTGTTTCCGGGGAAAAACGCCATTTGCGCATTTTTTTCACTTTTTTGTTGTTTATGCAAATAGCACACATTTTCAAGTAGGCACACCTCGATATCTTCAATAGGCATACCATTCCCGAGCGATTTCAATTGTTATCTAAGTCACGTCACGTTAGAGCTATATTGAAAAATGTCGTAATTCTCGTGGCCTATTATTTTATCGATATAAAAGAAGAGTACATTTTTTAAGTTTAAACTTAAAGACTGTCTATCCTAATAAAAATTTATTAATTAAAATATTTGGTATGGAGGGTCTGTATTTTTTTTTAATAGAAACTTGTCATCTTTAAATACACCTTTTATATGTTGCCGAAAGCATGCCCACATTTTTCTGGACGCCCCATATTGTAAGTTACGCCTTACATTATCAACTACACGATGTCTCATCTAAAACAGCTTAATCAGTGTCTTAAATCAGCCTTTTTAAACACTCCATTAAGTAGTTAACAATAATTACCACTACTAACACGCTGCTGCACCTTCTGAACTTATTTACATTTACATTTGTTTCGTTCGAATTTGTCATCACCGAACTACAAACAAAATGTGATTCACATGCGATTCACCAGGTGTTTCCATGTTACATACAAGTGTATGTGTGTTACACTACTAGTTTGTGTCCACAAAGTTAAAGGCTTAAGAAGAATTAGATTTTTGACTTTATTAATGCTGTCCATTTTCGAAATTGCATAATATTAAAGTAGGTTGAAATTAAATAAAGTTGGTTTAATTTTTTCATTTCAAGAGCCATATTTAATTCAAATTTATAAATGTGTTTGTGAACAAATAGAAGCTTGTAAACTACATTTGTTATTATAATGTGTTGTTGTTCATCGATGTTTTCTTGTGCAAAAAACAACCCTTTTTTTAATCAATGGGCTCGTTTTGCTCAGTTTATATAAACGATTTGCTTCTTTCATTTCCATTGTGTCTCAACGTTCTTCTCATGATGAACTTGAAACGAATATTTTTAAGTTTTCCCTTGTATTGAAATTTGAACTACAGGTCGTTACTATTTATTAGACATGACGCATTTATTTGCATCACATAATTTTGTATTTTGTATGTGAGTTAATTGGTTTAACAAACTCAGCAATTAACGCGTCAAGTTTACATCTCAGCTAAATGGACAACAAATGCACATAATAATATTTTTAGCCTCCTTGTTTCAACACCCTAGAACGGGTAGATGTTACCCTTAGAATCTTAAATGGGAAGGGGGGTCAAACGGCACATTGTTTTAAAGCGCATTCAATTCTACTAACATTAGTTACTACTTTGTGGCTTTTTGTCCAGAGGTTTTCGAATAATGGCGTTTCAAAGTTGTAGAAACAATTAAACTTGCGTGCATTCCGATATTGGTTTTCAGATTTGTGTTTAAACAAAAATTATGTCATTAGGCCTGCTTATAGTACAAATTATTAGAAGATTCGGTTTCAAACTTAAAATCGTTTACTTGACCGACACTTGACCCCCCTTCATATTTAATATTCTAAGGGTGACATCTACCCGTCCTAGGGGGTGGAAACAGGGAGACTAAAAATATCAATTGAAAGTGTCCCCCTTACAAATAAAATTGACGCGTCTTTCCGATTTTTCATATTTTCAACCGCAAGAAAGATATTAAAGGTGAGAAGTTTTCAAATCGTCACCCGGTTCGCAATATTAGTACTTCCGCTAGCGAGCCTTTGTAAAAAGAATTTATAATTAATTCAAAAAATAAATTCCTTGCTTTTGGACGATGTACCCGTCAATGTAAAACCAACATAATCAAAAATAAATTACAAAGCTCAAAAGATTCACTTTTGACTTTGTTGGGGCTTTTAGACCGTCGTGGAAAATAATTTCTGACCAACGTTTCGCAAGCGCTAGTGGGGGGCATTCTCAGAGGTGTTTCGCTCGAAAGCTCACACTGGACTGATGGTCGTAAGCTTTCGACCGAAACTCCTCTGAGGTTGCAAACGATTCGTACTTCCGAGACGTCAGGAAGTTGTTATTTTCCACAACGGCCTAAAAGCTCGAAAAGGTGATCAGTTTAAATTACAAGGCCATTTAAAATATTTTTATTACTTAATGCACGACAATTAGGCCTTAGACTTATACATTTATAGTAACTTCCTTGCGCTTTCTAATTGCATAAATGCGAGCTGCTGTTTAGAGCTGTAGTATACCATAAACGAGGATCAAGTGATTATTAAATGCGCGATTAATATCAGGAGATTTTCAATTGTATAGTACAAACAGCATGGAATTCTATACTTTTAGAGAAATAGGTAAAAAAATTATCTGAATAATTATTTTAGCAACAGAAACACTTAAAACGCGCTTTGCTATGACAGTTCTTATTTATAAAGTAGATGCATTTTTTGATTTTCAATGCACATTTTATTTGCTGATTCTGAAAATGCATGTATAAATTAATAATTTTCAGGTCCCCAACAAAACAAAATATTTACATTTTTAAATATCCAGTAATAAATCTATTACGGTTGTTATGTTATGTATGCCCTTAAAATCACACTTGCAATTTAACTGGGGTTTACAAATTACTTTCAATTTATTTTTTATTTGTTATGTAATATTGTAACTGATAATTTAAACATTCTATGCTGGTTTTTATATTTCTTGACAGGACGCTGTGATAAACGAACTTAAAACAAAAAATCGAATGGTTCATGAGAAGAAAATCCTACAGCAGGATGAAGTCTATAACGGAGCACTTGAGGACATTTTGCTGGGCTTGAAAAGTGAACCATATAGAAGAGCGGACGCAGTCAGGAGAAGTCAACGAAGAAAGATTGATAACAATAGACTGTCCAAAACCATGGATGAAATAGAGATTTAATATTGTATTCGAATTATTAACTATTAACCAACATGTACAGTTTTATACGGACAATTTACTGATGTTAAGTTATGTTTCAATGTGGTAGTAGTTTTGCCTTGTGCTTACCAGGACTGTTTACATATTTCATATTATGTTGATGCCGATTTTTTTCTGTGCTTTGATAATTAGTTATAGACATACTCGAATTCCAATTTCTTTTGCTGTCTTAGGATAATTCAAAACAGATGTTCGGAAAGAAACATGGTTTTAGTTCGTTTTCTAGCTGCCCAACTTTAGCAAACGATAGATAAAAAGTTGAACATGAATGTGAGTTTGCTATTTAAACAAACCATTTTTGTCACTTTTTATATGTTAGTAAAGTTGTTGCAGTAAACTTAAATTGCAAGTTATTTTTCAGCTTGTTTTACTATTTTGGATATTTCAGGACAGTAACATATTTTGTAAGCATTTCTATATTTTTATGTAAGTTTAAAGGACAAATAACACTTGGACATTCCTTTTACTAGCCGTAACAAGATGAGTATCAACATAATATGTAAATACTTTGTCTGAAAATGTGAGACTAGGTTTAAATTTAAGACTTTCCGTGCCTTTTTAGATACTAATTATTTTTATAACTGTTCCAAATTTTATGCGAATAAATTAATATATTGTGATAATAATCGGTCTTATTTGTTTAGGCTGATATATTTACAAATTGGATAACTACCTCTTTCCTTTTGATGGGTTTTAATACTAGTGAATAAACAGAAGGAACGAAATATGTTCCACCAGTCAATAAAAGTACTACATTCTACATTGAAATATTAAAAATTAATTGATCTGATATACACATGTTTTTCTCATTGTTTCCTATGCTTTCTGCGTTGTATTGACCTCTCATGTTATTTTTATAATCACTTTAATGCGCAAGGCTTTCGATAGAAAAATAATTATCTATTTTTTTATTATAAAAATAGCTATAGTGCAAACCTAGTCGATAACGTCGTTCTTCTGTAAGTACACAAATTGGCTGCAAAGTGCTTTTAATTTGTTATAGAGAGAATGTATAGTCTTTTTTCAGCCAGTGAAGTTAATTTTTCCTTAATATTTACATACTTTCACGGTAAATGACACGAATGGTATATACAATGAAAGTCTGAGTCGACTATATTTTCCTTTGAATTTATTCTAATATAAGTAGTACATATTTTTATACATCTTTTTCGATTTTGCAAAACTGTTTACGCCACGCACAAAAAGCATGCAATAATGAAATTTACTCTTATTGTAAATATAATATATTTATATTTCAATATTCACATTTCTAAGACTTTTATAAAACTTTTATATGTCATTTTTAGGGTAAAATTATGCACGTTTAGAGAAAAATAGTTGTTATCGCATATTAAAATTCAAAACATTATTCTTTATTTTCCTGTTTTATTTTGAGAGTTCTCTAAAAATAATTTGTTAGCCCCCTTTTCCTCAATGAGGAAAGGAACTGCATGTACAGCTCAGGAAGAATTCATGTAATATACACAATGTGTTTCCGGATTGAGTTAGTCATATGATGTTTCTTCTCTTCCTTTAAAATTATATATCTATTTCATATATTTTTCAGAAATATAGACAAATCTTCCTAATATAAAACTGGAAAACATGTACAGAGATAAATTATAATATTTTTATTTGCATAAATAAAACTGATTAAATATTTTTATTTATAATCCGTTTTTTTATTGATGCAATCAATTCGGAAATGTAGAACGTTTTTTGCTTTCTAACTTCTCTGCTTAAATTTCGCAAGAGTTACTACTCTGTCATTTTCCTTTTACTGCCAACATGAATATATGCTGAAATAAAACACATTTTAACTCAATCACAATACATTTGATTTATTTTTAAATTGCTTTGCTATAAATGATATTTCTTATGTTACATATATTTACAATTATATACAAAGCTTTTCGAATCTTGTCAGGAAAAGCAAATTCTTTTTATAAGCAGAATTCATAGTTAATTTTTAAAAGCTTTCTGAGGAACATCAAAGTTTTGATCCAATAATTATCTTCCGTGGAGATTATACCGTAAAAATCTATTTTATATAAATTTGAAATATTAAGGACACAATTCACATTCAGAACATAATTATATATTACTATTAGCAGATTGCAGTGAATATTTAAGGTTTAAATTGAATCTATAATCACCATACATAAACCGTGTTTGTGAAAAATGATTATAAATAACTTTGTCTTATTTACACGAAATTAAACACAAAATTTACATATCTTCTTAATAATTACATTTTTATAATAGGGTTTTACATTCCTATGCTTTAAAATAATTAGAATAGAAAAATATTTAGTCCGACATTTTAATCCTCTGAAAGATAGTTTTTTTTATTGTAAAGTTTACTCATTTTGTTAATAAAATATAAAACACGATTCTGTTTTTATTTGTCCTGATATACTTCTAGTTCCTAGAAAGTTTAAAATGGATTTCACATGCTAAAAAACTTATGAAATATGCTATACTCTTGACTTTAAAATTGTGAACTGTATATTAATTTTGCAATATTTTGAGAAAAACGTGCTCCAAAAGCTAATTCTCTTATTATTGAAAGAAACGGTTTTATTGTGTTTCGAATAAAACTGTTATCTTATTGCATGCAATCCGAACAATTTCATTAAATATTTTAAATTGAACTGGAAATTGGAAGACTAATTTTTCCCTAATTATATAAATTGCCTACAATTTATGATAGCATGTGATATAAACCGCGTAGTGGTATTCAATTGTCAGTTGATTGTGAAAATGGGGCCTACAATATTACTGCTTGTTGGTTTGGTCATGATGACCAACGTAAGTAGAGCAAATTTTAAACAACTGGAAGATTTCTTTCTATTCTGTATTTTCAATTATAGGCGTATGTTCCAAACGTTAATAACAAAATACGGGATTTTTGTATCGACGACTCAGGAGTCTCAATAGAAATGGTCGAAAATTTGCTGGCAAACCCAGAAAAACAGTTAATAGACGTGGAAAGTTGTTATGTACATTGCATTTTTACGTAAGTATATAATTTAAGTAGTTCCCAGAATATGTTTTCAAATTCGTTTTTAATTGTCTTATAAGGTGGTAGTTTTAAGGTAACAAGGTTTTGTTTAGATTGAATGAAATCAAGATTTGAAAACCCACAATTCTAACTTTTTGTGAAACTTGCCTTTTTTATTACATAACTTTAAATTCATAAGAGTATTTAAAATAAACTTTTGCTTTTAAACGTTTTATCTGTGAAATTTGGCTGTTGAAGAAATTGCTTCCAAAGCGTCATAAGAGTATCAGAAAAACTCTGTACTCCTTTATTAAAACCTCGTTAAATGTTTCATTTTTACCCAAGAGGCGCTTTTTAGTCGTAATCAATGATGTTCTTACCCCTTATGTAAAACATACATTTTGCAAAAGAAAGTTATTTGCCTTTTCCTTTTCAAGATTTTTATTGCATTCTAAATCTTTCTTAGCCTTAAGCTTAGGGACGTCTTCCATTTTCCCTTTAAGATGTATCGCTTAAAAAAAATATTATATTAAACTGTCCTACGTTTTTTAGGCCTAACCTGAACTTGTTTTTTTCAGACAATGACTTATTTCCACTTTAATAATGTACAACGATATTGTTAATGGCGTTAAAAATGATTGGACATTTTCGGTTTTTTTCCGCTATGTTCTCTTTTATGTGATCATTGAGATACCGCGGATTAAACTAAAATTCAACAGTTTTTATGAACTAATAGCGATTATCGACCTTTTAATTTACAACAAAATTCTAGTCTATATCTGTATAATTTTCTGAAATATTTTTAAAAATAAAAACGGAAATTTTGTACTTCCGACGCAATGCTTCCAGACCGTTTCTGAGTTTCAGGGATATTTGAAAAATTCGGATGACTTCAGATGTACAGAGTGGTCCGCGTTGTTTGAAACTTAATTTCACAGAAAAATGATCAGTAATCCAATTTTTGGTAAAATTTTAAGCGATACACTTAAATCAGTTTCAAGTATACAGAGTGCCCTAAAAATATAAAACTTTTCATAATGGGGCAGCCTATATATGTTTACGGTATTGAATTCTACACAAAAAAATAAAGGTAAGTTTCAATAAGGTATAATATAGAAAATGTGGACCTTTTTTGATAAAATTTGAGAAAATGTAAAATTGCAGAGCAAAGTTCAAAAAATTATAGGCCCGCTTCAGTGGTTTATCGCGCTGCCTACTTAATTTAAAAGATTACTAAAAGTGTCGTTCTGCTACTTAATCCGAAATATTTTTTTATGGAGACTTATACAGGCAATCCGAATACTTAAGTTTTATTAAATTTTGAACGTACATTTGCGAAATATTTAAAGATTTCGCATTCACTGTTTGATAAAATAACTGAACTTTTAAATTACTTGCAATTTTCTTTTCTGTGACTCACGACCATAATGTTCGTACAGTGTAATTCTTCAGTTCACAATTAAAACTGGACTTTTCTGTATTTTGGTAATGGAACAAGTGTGAATTAATCATCGTCAATAATAAAAAATCATCCAAATGGTTCATTCTGAACAAGGTGTACGACTAATTGGAAGATTTTTTTTTTATATCAAATGATCGTTCGCATACATATAATCTCACATGTATGATACACGATGGCCTAAATGAAACATTTTTGTTAGGATTATTATGTAATCACCCAGATAAAACATGTATTTCTAGAAAGAAAGTAGTAGCGGAAAGAAACTAGCGGAAATAAAATTTCTCATAAACAGAGGCGCGTGAACGCCTTGTTTTGCCGGGGGTTAAACTGTAATATAAAAAAAACAGGATGTTTGATACAATACTTGAAATTCGACAGATATTTGAAGCCGATTATATTTATTGATTATATCACTTTCCACCATCAAACAGTAAAGAATGAAAAAAAACTAATACGGTCCTGTTTTAATACTCAACAAAACATGGGAAATTATATGGTAACTAGTCTATTGCACAACAAAGATGTGTTTTTTGGACAGTCGATTTTATAATAAAGTGATTACGAGAGTCGAAAATCGCGAACTAATTAAAATCCCCTATCTAATAGAAAATCGAAAGAATATACTGTCAAGGTACCTTCCAACTTCGACACCGAATGCTCTTAAGCCATAAATCGAAATATAACTCCTAAAATGACTGTGTGATAAATGCTAAGCTGCGTATTGTAAGTAAAGAAAACCTTTTTGATTAAAATGAACGACAATTAATAATACACCAAGTAAAATATCAATCTGAATTTTCCAAAACAATATAAATCAAACAAACTACGAAAACGTTAAACCGTCCAACAGTCTAAAAATGTAGGTTTATGTGTCCAAATTTGTACAGATGTATCAGCATGTACGATATTAAATAATGTAAAGCAATGTTATTTAGTGAGATGGGACTCTTATCGGAAAATGGCAATGTAGAAGTAGAAAAGTTCAAATCACTGAAGGCATCAGAAGCTCCATATATTGATCTGACTTGCCTGGAGGAAATTAAATCAATTGATCATTGCAACGAAATGATGATATTAAGAGCATGCCACGTATAACTAATGTATGTAGTAATGTATTAGATATTATTCTAGTGTAGTTTATCGAAACGTTTAAATACAAATTGCTTAATATTTCGTTTTTTTTTTATTTAGGCGGTATAAATGAAGGTGCAAAATCAATCATAAAATGTAAATAAAAAGAAATTGAAAGCCAAATAACGCAAGAATAACATTTACTTCAATCTGTATGATAGTTTATCAAACACGTTTTATTTCAAATCGTTTAATGGTTTTTAATAATTGTGTTACAATAAAATATTTAGAGAAAACATTAATAGAAGCTCAAATTACCTTATTTTTTAGTAAGTTGTAAAAGTATATTTAACTTTTTTCTATTAATCTGCTATAGGAAACCTATGGTGAAGATAATGCTGAAGAACTGAGTGAAAAATGAGAGAGACATAGAACAAGAACACTGTGTTAATTTACTGTGTAATTTGCACACGAAAATGACCAATACAATAATACAAAGACGTGTAATTTACGACGGATATTTTTATTTCAATTGTAAATGCTCGTATAAGAATCGCCCACTATAGAATCAGAAAACCAATGCTGAAGATTACATTTCAAGACATTATTGGAAAAACTGAGTAATAGAAATTGAAATTTGAACAGCTAGACAATCCCAACTGATAAAATACTAATAAATGAAACAAATATACTTTGAAGATAATAAATCCTGCAGTTGTCAAAAGCTACGCTCACGTATAAGAACAGTCTACTATAAAAATGTGACTAGTTAATGCGCCATAAAATCGACACAAACCGCAATAAGAATTTGGTGAAAACCACAATAGAAACTCCAAAAACGCCCTCACATAAAATTCCGAAAGCTGCAAATGCGAGCGGTATAAATATTGCAAAATAGAAACTACAACCCTGGTTGCCATCTACTACTATCAAATAAATAGTCGTCCGGATCCATACCGATGAGCTTCCCGGAAAGTTAATTTTTTCTTCAAAAAACTCAACGCCATGATGGTCATGGTCCACAAGACCATCACAAAAGATCAAAAAAGTTCCACGTACCTTTAGGTTATTTGATCTGGATTCTGGGATTTTTTACATTTGAAGGCAACAAAATTTTTATTTACTGCAGAAAAACATCTATAGTTGATACATTTACTTGTTGATTATATATGTTATAGAAAAAACATTAATTTTTATATCTTGATGTAAAGAAAATTCAAGGAGTGAGGAGGCTCACAATAGAACACCCTTAGTTTACATAAAATGTGTAAAGGTTTAGTGAAAACAGTCTACTGCGGATAACCTGGCTATTTTATGTTGATAAACGGAGTTGAAAGCACTGAAAATTTGGAAAATATAACGCTCCCTATTAACAGGCAAATAATTGAATACAATTCAAAAAACACCAAATGTACAAAAGACGCGAATTATCTTGTGACACTCAAAAACGTAGTTCACAGCAGAACAACTCAAATTTTCAATTTAAATTGTAAGTTTTAGATTTCATACAAAAAGTATACGGTTGAAAAACTCATTATTTAACGTGCAATATCTGACTGTAAATGAATTTTAGACAACTGAAATTTTGAAAATTAAAGAACCAAATCCAGAACCCAGAAGCTCCCTCGTCCTTCTTCGTCGAAGAAATATTAAATGCAACAATGTAATAAAATACAGGTCAATAATATGGAACTAAAAAGTTCTACAGCTATATGGCAACCAGGGGCAAAGTAATGCCAAACTTACCAAAAGCTGCATCGTGACATCTGGAAATAAAAATGAAAATCTGTTTAGTATAGCAGAAAATCTGTCAAAAACGATGTTATTAGAAATCAGAAAAGCAAAAAATAAGAAATGTAAAGTCCATAAAACCACAGTTAGAACTGAAGGATTTGTAGATTAGAAATCATTCTTACCAGATTTATGCAAGCTGGGGCCCCATCCTCCATTTTCTGCCCATTGATTCTCTCTCAAAAAGTCCACTTGGCATTTGAACAGACAATGAAAATTCACTTCGATTTGAAAACTTCAACTACCGCACTTGTCTTCGGAATTTCGGATTTAAGAACGCGATTGACACGACACAAAGATCACGCGACCCTTGCAAAGCTGTAGGAAAACTTTAATTAGTAAATAAAGACATTAAAAAGTGACTTTGTGTACTAGAAAAATTAGTATATTAACTAAATAAGTAATAGATTCAATATGAGATGATTAATTTAAGGTGGAAGGAAACACCTTATTTAAATATTAAAGATACTTCAGAAATTAATTTTGACTATTTCATAACATTCTTAGAAACGACAATATATGTGAAAAAGACAAGAAATATCCTAGAATATATATAAAAAATATAGAAATAAAAAAAATATATAAAGTTCAGAGCTGCAAAGAGCAGTAAGCTGTTGTAAGTACAGCTGTTGCTAGTAGAAGAAACGTTTTGAAGATCTGTTTTCCCTGACATAATATTTATGTTAGGGAAATAAGTAACAAAATGTTAAAATAAAATATAAATAGTGTGACTCTACAGAAAAAATTAGTACATACCTTTGTAGTAAAGTAAATATTTGATAAATTTACTTAGCATCATACAAAAGAGGACACTGCCGTTTCCAAAAAGCCACTTGGTAAAATCCGCTCAATCCGCAATAACAATTCAACAAAAATCGCAAGGTAAATTTAGCAAAAACCGTAATACAAACTCCGCAAAATTGTACGTACATACTAGCAGCATAAATGTTGCAAATAAAGTCTACAACCCTGATTGCCATCTACTACTACAAATTAAATAGCCGTTCGGATCCAGACCACTAAAATTCTCTAAAATTTCGACTTTTTCTCAAAAAACTGAACTCCATTTAAAGGCTTAAATTTATAAGAATAACAGCAAGTTTCTTTATAAGCTTGATCTGGACCAATTACAGCTTGAAGAGCGCTGAACGGCAAACAAAACTGGAATAGTCGGTTGGATCCTGACCGATAAAATTCCCTAGCACGGATAGTTTGGCCAAAATCAGTTGTTTAAAGTGTAAACTTTGGAAAACAGCTCGAAATCGAAAGCCAGGCTCTCTTGCAGCCTCTTAAGGCTCTATTCGCTAGACCATCACAAAGTGATACACAAGTAATAAATCTGGATTCTGGGTAATGTCCACTTTTGAAAGCAGTAAAAAGTTTAACTTACAGCAGAAAAAAACACTAATAATTGACTTTAGTTTGAAGGCAAGCAAAGGAACAACAACATGTTCGCAACAATGATTACTCTATTTTTACTACTGCGGAAAACTTAACCATTTAATGTTGCAAAACTGAGTTAAAAAGACCTAAAATTTTAAAACTCGAACTATCCCTATCGGGAATACAAGAACCGTTTAATTTCGGGTGTATTTCACAGAAGAAAAACACCAATAAGTTTAGAATTCGGAGAAGAAGAAAAATTCAGATAATTTTTTAAAACACAAAAAAGGACCGAAGTAGCAGAACGGTATATCTTTATGGCATAGTACATATACTATAGCCATAGCCGCAAATGAAGTTCAGTGAAATTACTGAACTCAACCCAGAATCCAGAAACCCCGGAGGTTCGTCGTCGTTTCTCGCCGAATAAATATTACATGCACCAAAATAATAACAAAGTACAATATGGGGCTAAACCATTCTACATGGCAATCATGGGCAAATAATGCCAAACTTACCGAAATCTGCATCGTGCGACCTGAAAACAAAACGGAAAGATTCGTTAGTCTAACAGAAAATCATCAGTTGCTTCAGATTAGCAAAGTAAAAAAGTGAAACGTAATGAAGCCGTAAAACTTATCAAATAGGAAATAATAAGGAAACAGGCAGTTCAATCCAGATTTTCTTCTTACCAGCAATCAAAAAGCTGGCCCTCATCTTCAACCATCCCAGCCAGTATCGGCATAGTTGCGATGCACCTACAAGTTACCCTCACATCTCACACATACACACACAACAAACACTCACTTTGGATAAACCCACCAACCCTTCAACGTTACTTTTATGGCCCAAAATGGTAATATTTCAATAGCAGAATTTGCAAACTGGTATCCAGCTATGAACACTACCAGCAAACTGAATTTTCAATATTCCTTTCAATCGCTTCATGCGATTTTGTGTTTTTTTTTCACGTTCCAAACACACCAGGCGTTAGTACTAACATGATGATATAATTGTTTGCTTGTTCGTCCCTTTCATGTGTGAGTGAGTCATGGCTTAACTTTGCTGTTCGATTTCAATTTTTCTCTCAGTGAAAGGTAAACATATCCAATCAAATACGCAGTACACTTTTATGTTAAATTAAAACCGACAGTTAAAGGGAGCAAACATTTTCGGTTTGACGTATTTCTAGATTGACGGAGTTTATAAATTAGGCATAGATTTAGCCCGTCTACAATCGCTTTATTGTCACCATTGAGACCGTCAAAATATGTAATTTGAGTTTGTTGCGAGGTCCAGATCATTATTTTGTTCGATTTTCATAAAACTTTGTTATGTTAAAATCCCTAGTTTTCCAATATTTAGGAAGGCTTTTAATAATTTAGAAATATATTTTTATGAAGCAACTAAAGAATAATGATGTGACTGACTTGACTCTGCAATCTGAATATAACATACTGCAAAAGTACCAAATTTCTTCAAAATAAAGTTACGGGCTGCTTATCAGACCATTGGAAAAGTTGCGCAACAGCTAGATGTGCTTAATTATTAATGAAGAGGCCAGGAAACACTAAAATGCCTGCAAAAGCCCAAAGATTTATGAATATTGAGTTGAACAGTGGCTGATTCGAGGTCTGGAGACGAATTCAAATTGGGTATCGGACGGCTTTATCCTAATTTGAAGAACAAAAAACGAAAGAAAAATTTATCGAAACCGTTTCCAGAATAAATATTCAAATCTCCAGTGATAAAAGCTTTCCAATGTTGCTGAATTAATACAGATCCTTTGAGTTTTACTTCAGTAGAAAAACATATGTTAACATTTTTCTGGTAATACATAGATTTGCAATAAATTTTCCAAGGTTTTTTCGTTTCTATACTGCTTTGTAATGTAAAAGTATCAAAATTATGTAAAAATATTAAAACAGCGCACAAAAAGTCCGGAACTTATTGTTCAATAAACCTATTTTTTAGTATTGCTTATAACAATTTTATTATTTTATTTATTTATTATTTTTAAGAACTTAGGAAATATGTATGAATAATAAATCATAGAGGCAAACATATTTTTACTTTCAAGCTGTATTGGTCTCCTGAGCCATTTACTTTCTGTACCAAAAAAAAATCACAAAAGACACAAGTGTTTGTGATACACCGTTATAGAGTGATTTGTTTGTGCCCCGTCAACAGCACCCAACAAATCATGCCTAACATTTTGCTTTTTAACATCTGCCAGGTTTCCAAAATTTCGAATTTTTGTCTGCTTAGTTTCACTCACAAGAGTTCTAAAATTTACAACAACCGCACTTTATACTTATTAATTGGCTGTATTTTTGCTTACTATTTCGCTCAAATTTTCTTTTCTTTTGAGTATTTATATTATTGTTCTCGTTCGAGATATGAGAGTCGTGGTCAGAAAGATTACACAAATACAGGTAAAATAGCTCCAGCCGAAAATTTAGAAAATGTAGAGTACGGTTGTTTAGAAAATTGTAGAACTTTTGTTAGTGAAACTGACTACAACAAATTGTTGACAAACATATTTTGGAACCTGGCCGATTTTTACCATGAAAATGTACTTTTCTTAAACTGGGGTGTACTATAAAAAAGAGATGCCAAATAAATTCTAAAGGAGCACAAAGCAAATGTGTATAAAATTATAGTTTATCTGTTCAGACTGGAAACATTTGGGTTTGTAAAAACGTTTTTGTTATATACTTAATACTTCGAAAACACGAATAAGACAATTAGAACGTGTTTTAATATATACGAATTCTAGAATAGAAAAGCATGTCCTGATGCTAAGATATGTACGCCCAGAAATATTTCAAATTCTAACCTAAGCGATTCTCCTTTAGAGAATATCCAGAGCTTTTCTCAGTATGAAAGCCATTATACATGATCTAATTAAACCGAATCTGAGTTAAACGTCAAGCAAATGCACAATCTATATGTAGAAAAGTGTAGTGCACACTGCCTATTAGAAAAAATATTGCAGAAAGTGACTTTAAAATATAATTTGCTAAATTTTAAAATATAGACATCATGTAGCAATGTTGAACTCACAAGCCCCACAGAAGAATATAATGTACCTACACATAAAGAACCCTAAATTACCAAGAAAAAAGTACGCAAGCAGATCAGATATTTCGCTTTTACTTTTGATATGCAGAAAGCATTATCCTACAATTATATGGCCACTTATGTCGACTATTCTTATAAAATAAGACCGATCCTAGCAGAAACGATACTTATAGAATAAGTATCGTTTCTGCTAGGATCGAGAATTCAGTCTCAGATAGTCTACAGTCAATCTTAGTAAGTCTAAGGACAGTCTTAAGATATACGAGTCATAAGTCATAGTTAATGTTCGGTTACAACTAAAATCTATTGTTTCTATTAATTTGGAAATAAATTGTTTTTAAAAATAAACCTTCAAATTAATCTATAAAATTTTACCCAAAATTGTCCGTGTCTTCATTGCACTTTATAGACGAAATATGTAGGTACCTATGTTTTTTCTTAATTTTTTTAAATTTTTTTAAATTTATTTCTTTATTTCAAATTACATTCTTATTTACTACATATTTAAATAGTCTCTAATACTATAAGGCTCTAACTCAATTAATATCTGTTTTAATTTATTCTTAAACAATTTTTCAATTCTTACTTTTTTATGTTTATGTTTATGTTGTTTTCTAGTTTATTAAAGAATTTTATACCCATATAGTACGGACTCTTTTCAGACAGTGTTAGTCTGTGTGTTGGATACAAAATGTTTCCCGTGCGGGTGTTATGATCTTGGTTAACGTTGTTATCGTGTAAATATATACTCTTAAAAACACATAATATTGCCTCAAAAATGTACAGACCGTACACGGTTAAAACACCTTTTGATTTAAAAACGCCTTGACAAGACTGCAAAGGAGACATTCCGTAGATAGTCCTTAGTATACGTTTTTGTACTGTAAATATATTTCGAGCCCTCGAGCTACTCGCCCAAAAAAATATTCCCTGCCTAAGTATTCCTTCAAAGTTTGCGAAATACCAGGCCTTGCGTGCCGTTTCATTCAGGTATCTTGAAACATTTCGGATACAAGAACATATTTTATTTAGTTTCTTACTAAGGTAATCAATATGGCAAGACCAGTCTAAAAATTCATCAATATAAATCCGCAAAAACTTTGTGCTACTACCTACTGCAATTTATACCCCTTCAACAACAATGGTGTCTGGTTTCTGATTTTTATTTAATTTGGTTCTAAACAGAAATGTGTTTGTTTTTTCTTTATTTAAGCATAACATATTTTTTCCAAACCATCTTTCTGCTGATGTAAACAAAGTAGTGGCATTWCMCACKAGTTTAGGGATTGTTTTCCTCCTACTAGCAGGCTTGTATCATCTGCATACTCCGTTAGCAGAAAATTTGGGGTAAGACATTCGTTGTTAATGTCATTCATAAAGACTATAAACAAAATAGGTCCGAGCATACTCCCCTGTGGCACACCTACTGTGCTTTGCGAAATTTTTGATTTGTAGGACATACCGTCCTGGCGTATAATCACCCTTTGGGTTCTCTTACTTAAATATGAGCGAAACCACTCAAGAGCGCGCCCCTTGATCCCATAAATTTCTAGTTTTTTCAGCAGTGAATTTCGATTCAGACAGTCAAATGCCTTTTAAACATCCAAGAATATTCCTAGAGCCATGTCGCCGGCCTCCAGATGTCTCAAAATTGCGTCTGTGAACTGAACGATCGCCGTTTGACTGGATCGTCCCTTCATGTACCCATGTTGGTTTCGCGAAAGAATATCAGACTCCATCATAAAATTCATTAACCCTTTGGACATGACAACTTCAAATAACTTTGAGAAAGCCGGAATCGCCTTTATTCTTATAACATGGTCTAATTGCAGACAACTTTAAGAGATTCAGGAAACACTCCTTCTCTCAGTGAGTTATTTATGACAAAGCAAATTACCTGGGTTATAGCCGGAATGATATGACGCATAAGACTTGTGGGCAATTCATCGTCACCACTACTATGTTTGTTCTTAATTCTGTGCGCTAATTCCAATATTTCCTGTTGATTGTTTTGATTTGATTGAAATTTGATGTTTTATGTGCAGGATTCCATAATTTTCGTGATAATGAGGTGAATTTGTACGCATGAAACAAAACTATTGCATTCAGAAATACCGAAGAAATAGCTTCTTGTTGCTTGAAGCATTAACAAAATGTAGCTACGCAAAAACTTGTAATAACCTACAGAAGTGTATGCTCTGGCTTAAAGTTGTTCAGTCCTTCAAGAGCGCCGTCGAAATTGCCCACAAATTTTTATATTTTGGGCACTTTTAACGAACAATTGTGCTTCCCAAAGATGAAAGAATCAGTCTATAACTACTCCTTACTGTCTGTACATGCACCGAACGAAGACAAGAACGAGTTGTGACAGACGCATTCTATGGCACCCTGGAGAGTAAAATCGGAACACCATCTGAACAGGATATTCAACATACATTAGGCGATTTTAACGCAAAGCTAGGAAGAGTAGCGGCAGTAAGGTCCCACATGGCTACAAAAAGCCTACACATTCTCAAATGAAAATGGGCAAACACTTGCTGATTGCGTCGTGATTGATTGAAGGCATGGAAGCAACGTCCTGGATGTAAGAAGTTATTGTAGGGCAAAAATGAGAATCAGGATATCAGGTTTAAAAAATAGGCAGTCCAAACAAGACTAACCGTGGGTACAGCGAAATTCGAAAACGAAGAAATCAAAAGGCGTTTTCAGGCGGAGATAGAAGCCAACAATTTGCAAATACAGATGACATCGACACGAGATGGAAATCACTATCCGAAGCAATCATAGGGGCCAAGTGTGACTGTAGGGGTAAAGCCAAGAAACAAAAATAGAAACCACTGGTACGATCCGGAACGTACATAAGGAAGGAAATACTACAAGACTAGTAATGACGCAGGATCTTACTGACGACAATGTTTGGGGACGGTGAAGTGCCCAATCAGATGGAGCAACTTTAGTGGACTGTATTAAATTTATTTGTCTCCACAGGCGCACTGGACGCTTTATGGTCGGTTGAATGAACAAACAAAATTTCTAATACAAAATATATATATTTGAAGGACCACTTTGGTTCGTGCCAAAGACACTTATTTTATTGTACAAAACAAGAATGAAATTTGTAAGCAACTATTTCCGAGAGAACAAAACGGGAGCGAAATTTAATTCTTACGGTGCTACGTCGACCGGAAACCTCGGTGGTTCGATTTCTTCTCCATTTAAGCCGTAATGTGCCGACGTGCCGTTCAAGGGATTTAGATTGTTTGAGGTTTCTCGAACGACAACAACAATAAATTCAGACAACTGAGAAGAGAAGTTAATAAACTACTAAGAAACCAAAGCGCAAAACATTATCAGGAGCTGGAGGAAGTGGAAGCAGTTGGAAGGAACAACACCAGGAAACTCTATAAGACAATTAGATAAAAGCGAAATAAATAATGGCTTAGACCCAGAACCAACAACAATATCAAGGACGACAACGGATACCAAATATTTCAAACATGGAAAGAGTAAGTACTTAAGGATGAGTATGAGATTTCGAATATTGCATTTAACTTTTTAATTTAATTTTTAGTTTGAAATGGTCGTCAACCCATTTGACTCCTTGATACCTCTAGAAACACAAGAAAATTCGACTAGGAAAAGGTAAGTGAGCTCAGCAACTGTATTCTCCTCAGCAGCAAATTTGTCAAACACTACAGGTCGTGATATCCTCCGAGTAGTGGCGTATAGCTACTCAGACTATTTCATTATCTTTCAATTATTTTTTAGTCACCTACATTTTGTGTACATAACTGCACATTATCAATTTTTTTTGATAATTGACAGACCGAAGTGGAATGGTTTAATTTTTCTCTGGGAATATCGTATAGTTCTTTGCTTTTAAATAACTAAAGTAGGAAAATCATGGTAAAACTTATTTTATTGTTCAGCTTCAACTAAAGGTTTAAATATTGAAATTTCTGTAGAATATTCGATATGTTTAGTAACCGAGTATCTTCTGCACATTTTGTTTCCAAGTAACACTTCGTTCCCTTTAGTCATGCTCGATTCGTTCTGTTCAATTTAGCAAACGTATGCTTACCAGCAAATTAACTATTGCAGTGGCGATGTAAAAAAGTATTTATTTTTAATTAAAATGTTCGTGCTATTTCAGAACAATAACTGATTAACTGCACTGCTTGTTATCTTTAAAGCTATTATGTGCAATGAACGACAACCACACCAAACCACGTGAGGAGGTTTTTAACCGTAAAACCTACCTGAATATGTATTTATTTTAATAATGTGGATTATAATTGATTAATCAATTTCATAGGCAAATGTCGATGATACACGTTCTGTTAATTCCAGTTGTACTAGGTGAGTTATACATTATCTACCTAAGATTCAGTTGCTAAATCATTGTAAGTAGATTAAAGAAACTCAATAAATTTTTTAGTTACCTTTACGACATGTTTGGAACGAATTGTTGGCGGAAATCAAGTGGATATAATGAGAGTCCCTTACCAGATTAGCGTATTGTAATGAACTTTTTTGCAATGGTTTTGAATAATGTAAAACACAGGCCCGTTTTTTTTAAGGCAAGATTTGCAATCGATTTGCGGGGGAGCATTAATTGGCTTAAGGTATGCTCTATCAGCAGCCCATTGCTTTCATACTCCAGGAATGTACAGAATTCGAGCAGGTAGCAGTTTAAAAGACAGTGGAGGAGAGATAGTAAATATACGAAAAGTATTGCTTCATCCGAAACGAACAACCCGTCTCTATGAATATGATATTGCTATTTTGGAGTTGGAACGTCCAGTCAAGTAAGTCTCTAAAAATTGAAATCAGGCTTAAAATGTTTGGATTTTCACAAATATGGGCTTTGTTATGACTTAACTGGCTTAAAGTTTTAGATCATTTAGATGTTAGACATTGTGCAAAAAAAGAAAAATGTTTAATGCTTGAATTACTCATGGCTCCTCTAAATGATACTAATAGTTGCGACTGGTGCCACATTCAAAAGAAATATGCTTCCATATACATAGTAGCAAAAATTGCTTGTGAAAAAAAAATTGTGAATATTATTAAGCTATTGGTTTTTGGGGTTATTTTGCATTACATTTTTATATCATTGACCATTATTTTGGAATTGAAAGATACTTATTAAAAAAAATATTGCAGTTTGAAATAATAATGTATTTTAGCATATACATTTCCAAAAACTGCGAACATTGGAACAATCTAATATTTACTTGGATTATTTCTACTTATTATTAGCTCGATACTCTTAAAGAATACGTTTCTCTTTGCACGTCCGAATAAGAATTTACTATCTGTCTATTTGTCCGAATCTGAATTTACAATTGGAACGGGTTTTTTGCTTTTTTCGAATCAGTAGGAACTTACGCATTAGAAATTGCAACATGTTTATATTCATTTTATACTGCGCCGCAAGTTTAACGCGTAACTTAAATATTTCCTAATTTTGAGTGTAAAAATTATTCTCATATTATCAGTAGGTAATCTGATTTGGACATTTTTTATAACGAATTACAGCTCTAATCTGGGACAAAATTCAAGTTATAAGATAAGCAAGAAAAATTATTTAACATTTCGTGCAGGGTGTTTAATGTTTAGATGTAATAAACATATTGTAAATAATTGCATGCTTTCTTAGTTACAGTTTGAAACAGAAAGAAGGTATACGCCATACGGTGTTATAACCTGATGTCTTCTGCGTGTATCTTGAGCCATTCAAGGCTTTGCAGATACTAAAATAAACTTTAGCAGCTTAACTGACTGCACAGAGAGAAATAAATATATTGATGAAATAAACATTTTTGACACAAATTTTCTTCGCAAAAAAAAGTTTAAGTAAATTTATAAAAAGAATCTCTCGAATCTCTCCGGATAAACTGACCTCAGAAACTCAGAAATCATGAGGCTATGAAACTAGAGCAGCGCATACTTTGGTTCTTCTCTCTGGCCTACCCCTCACATTGCCCGCAGAAAATTTGAAACTTTGACCAAGAAAAGATGACATTTTTTAAAACCCTGGACAACATATTTGTTAATTTTTTTTTTGGTTATTTTATAACTCCAATTTTACCTAAGAATAGATGTTTCGATAGGGGAATTGGGTTCGATAGGAAAATTTTCACAGTCGAAATTAAAAAATTCATAAACTATGTGTTAAGTTTGCGGCGCAGTGTATAAATGCAATCGATATAAAAAAAATTTCTTGCTTCAGTGAGGCGTTTTTTCAAGTGGTTTGAATAAGAAAGAAACCATGGTGGGTTTCCTTTAAACCACCACGACAGAGTTGCATTTGAGAGAGAATTGGACCAATTCAATGTAAAGATAATAATGCTTGTTAAATTAACGGTTTTTACAGTCACATTAAATTATTCATAAAACCATCTATATGTGAGTGAAACGGGGCATAAGGTAGCATTTCCACATAAAGAAATTCATTATTTTTTAAATCTCATAAACCTCGATAGTGTACATGAAAGCAATAAATATTTCTTCTATTCTGTTTTCTCTAAAAAACATATAATGTAGAGACTGATATTGTAATGATGCCCTTTATCTAGTTCTGCATTTAGATGAAATACATGTTTTATAAAATTACATTTAAGTACTAGCAATACAGTTCAAAAATTGGAGGTTGGAGAAAAGGAGATATTTAAAATACATTCTAACCCACAACTCATATACAGATATTGTGAAGAATTATCTTCAACGTAAAAAGTTTGTACATGAAACTCTTTATTATTTAATTTATTGCAATAAAAAACCATGACAATTAGTGCTTAAATCAAGTTTATAACGGCGATCAAAAGAGATACATTTTGTAGGCAGTTATATAGTTCAGACTGGACTTGCTTTGATGGGAACCCCTTCGTTGTTTAGCATTGAAAACAGTAATTGGTTTTCCAAAAAATTGCAGTTTTTACCAGCTGATATTTATCAAACATTGAATTATTTGCAGATTCAAAAGCACAATACAACCGGTACAGCTGCCGGACAATGACGCGTTAATAGTTCCTGGAATAAATGGTATGATTTCTGGATTCGGCGATACGTACACTGCTGAAAATACTGGATCAAGGGTTTTAAGAGTAGCTCAAGTCTCAGTCCAAAATTTAAAATCGTGTGAGAAAAGCTACAGTTTATATGGAATACCAATAACCTCTTCAGTTTTCTGTGCAGGATCTCCTCAAGGAACAAAAGACTCTTGCCAGGTAGGTTAAACACCATATATACAGAGTTACAGGAAATTCTGCGTTCAAAAATATGACATAGTTAATAGCTAAGATATGCTTGAAAACGTTCCGTTTGCGCGATACAGCGTGTCACAAATTAATAGGTTTTGCCGATATTACCGAAATAAAAGCAAGAAGAATACATCTTTATTTTGGTGGTATCGGTTTTTCTCGACAGCTTCTAGCGCTTATAAGATATACATATACTATACGGCACCGACGTTTGCGGCTAGCCCGTTTGTTTTTTGCAAAGTATTATTTGATGCATCCACAGATGCCTATCGGGTGCACATTTTAAAAATATTTTTGTAATGTACAGAGTGTCCCAACAGCCCTAAAAGTATCAAAGTTGTGTTTTTCTAAATGAAATACCCTATATATTAATGCATTTTTGGATTTTCTGAGCTAAATATAAAGGTTTTTTTTTTATAATTCGAATTTTATCAAAATCTAATATTATTTTCATGTGTCAAATACTTTAAAATTATTTATGTAAACGTAATTCGTAGTGTAGTGTAACAAGAAATCATATTTTATATGCCAATGATAATAAAATTACCATTTTATACAGGGTGTCCACAAATTTAAACTAATCAAATAAGAACTTTAAGTGGCT